GCCGAAGCTCCAGTATTGAGTCTTTCTTAGAGAGTGAACGGGTAAACTACTTGGATCACGAGCACTTGGAGAACTTTGGGTTGGTTCCTTGCCCAGTGTCATCCCAGGGGTGCTCTGAGAAAAGGCCTTTGAAGATGTTATCTGCCAGGGATTTGGGGAGGTACAGTTGTCTTCAAGGGCAAATCAACCCCATGGTTCTCTTTTCCCCACCACGCCCACTTAAAGAGTTTGTGTCTCAGACACAACTCCAACAAGGACTCTCTCTGCCTAACAAATGCAAACATTGTAGCCTAATTGTTTGTATTCTCACATTAATAGGAAATTAAAAAAAATAAAGAGGTTGTGTCTTAGAATGGTAAATTCTACCCAACATAGAAGACAGACAAGAAACACAAACTCTTAACCAAAAAGCGGGTGGGACTGTGGTAAGGACCAATGAGAATAAAAACCAACATTCTGGGGGCAGTGTTTGTGGCTAAGGTTCACAGTATAACACAATCTGCCAAGTGTTACTGAGCACTCTTCCATGCCTGCCTTGAGCCTTGATGTCTAAATGAGGGGCCATCATCTCTGCCTGGACAAGGGCCTTGGTGGTGGCTGCGGACACCTGCCATTTCAACCCGGATCCTTCTCACTCCTGAGGCCCTTTGACCCACTTCTCCTAAAAGAGCACCCAGTCTCCACCTGTGCTCGTTCTGCCAAGATGGAGATGTCTATATCCTACAATAGGGGCCTGAGCCCAGTGCCTGGGACCAGTGTGGCCACGTGATTGTGTCCACGCCAGGGCTTCCTCATTAGAAGAACTACAGACTTTGGGGGCTCAGGCTCCCCCGAGGACACCCTGAGGGGCAGTCCCTCTTCCCCCACCCAACCACTTCCCTCTCCTCCAGGTACCTGACGGGGGACCAGCTGCGGAGCGAGTCGTCCACAGAGGCGTACGTCCGCTGTCTGCGCATGGGCTGCCGCTGCATCGAGTGTGAGTAGCGTCCCCCTGGTGGGGCGAGCTGTGTGGCAGCTCCATGCTTTCTTGTACATATCAAGAAATTTTTAATAGGCACTATTATTTATGGAATGTCTATCCATGTGTATGTTGTGTGATGAGCCCTTCAGGGCAATTAGCGTATCCATCACCTCAAAGCTGTCTTGCTTCTTGGTGGTGGCCACACACAAATCCTCTGTCTGCTCTGAGACATTTGTACCTTCTTGTGGACTCTGTCACCCTCCTGTGCAAGGGGACACCAGCGCTTGTTCCTCCTGCCTGGATGTAACTTTGATCCTAGCCCACCTGCCCCTCCCGTCTGTCTCTGGTAATCACTGTTCTCTTTGCTGCTTCTTCGACATCACCTTTTTTAGTTGCCACCTACGAGGGAGAACTTTTGGGATTTGTCTTTCTGTGTCTTGGCTGATGCTTTTTTGTCTTGAAAGTCTGAATGATGGGACAGGTGAGACAGACCAAGGGAGACCCGGGCCCCCAGAGCATCTGCAGTAATTGTTGTGACCAAGGATATTTCTCCAGAAGAAAATGGTCCTCAAGATAAGGAGTGGTGTCTGGGCCTGAGCAGGTGGGAGCCAGTGACCCTGGGCCAGGCACTTCGGGCAGCCAGAAAGCGTGCTTTTATGACAAGAGGCTGGGAGGCCAGTGGCAAAGCTTTGTTCTCCTTGTCCTCCCACGGTGTCCTCCTGGACTGGTATTAGAGGAAGGTGTGTGCAGGTCCCCCATGTCACGTGTACTGCAGTGTCTGTGAGCAACCATAGAGAGTGGTCCGCGGCCCCTGTGGCCTGGCAGAGGACGGTGGCCTGTTTTCCTTCTTGCTTTCTGTCCCCTCTTTGTGTCTTTCCCTCCTGGCCTCTCTCTCCAACCCCACAGAGGCTCAAGGCACATGTGGTTGAGAAAAGTCATAAGCTACTGATTCCAGCTCCACTGTTGTCAAAACCACTCACGAGGGTGTCAGGGTTTGGTAGCCGTGACTACAACCCGAGTTTATGCCCAGCCGCCCAAAGCTAATGACAGAGTAAACCCCAAGGGCTGTTCCCTCTTGGGATGGAAAAGATGGGGGTGTTTACCTCCTGCATGATCTATTTCTGTTTAAATATTTTACCTTGACAAATTTCTCATTGCTCTGTATTATTTTCACAAGTAGAAGAGGCCAGTCAGGGTTTAAATAGGAGAAATCGAGAAATAAAGCGCATTGTAAATATCTTCTTGAAAAAAAAATCATCGAGATTGGCTTCTCTCAGACAAATCCATTTCATTACAGAAGCTCACTGGTAACCCCATGTGCACAGGTGAACCCGTGTCCTCACGCCGGTGGCCCTGAGTGAACTTACGGGGTCTGGGCCTCTGTGTTCTGGTACTTGAACTGGTGTAGGGGCCAAGGGTGACAGCTTCTGGCCGAGCTGCCTGTCTGCCATCCGTGGCCACACGTGGTATTGAGGCTGGCACCTTTCTCTCCCTAGTGGACTGCTGGGACGGGCCCGACGGGAAGCCCATCATCTACCATGGCTGGACGAGGACCACCAAGATCAAGTTTGATGATGTTGTGCAGGCCATCAAAGACCACGCCTTTGTAACCTCAAGGTCAGTTGGCTGGTTTACAGATGATTTGCCTTTAAGGGGAAGGCAGCTAGAGTTGGGTGGACAGACACGGATGCACACACACAACCTCCTGCCCCTAACACAGAGGACTCTAACACCCATCTTGGCCAGAGTCGCAGCCAAGGAGTCCTCAGTTGGGTGGCGCCCCCTACAGGCCGAGAAGGCATCTCACTCTGGCTGTGGAGTCTGATGGAGGCTGTGCAGTGCCCTCTGCCCTGCCTTCCTCCTCATTCCAGCCCGGCCCTACTTTCAGAACCTGTCAGGAGAGAAAGTTAAAATTCCCTTCTATCTTAATTCCCTCTTTTCTTCCCAGTCCCCCAGGCCTGTTTCTGCAGGTGGAATTCAAAGCATCCCCTGGTGGTGGTGGTGCTGGGGCATTCATATTTCTTGGCACTCCCTGGGGCCAGGCTCTGTGCTAGGCTCTCTGTACATGTGATCATCTTGAATCCTTGTCACAAAGTGGGCATGGTTGTTCCCATTTAACAGATGAGTAAACTGAGGCACAGAGGGATTAAGCGGTGAGTATCAATGTTTAGGTTGGTTTTTAGGACTTCTGACCCCAGGTCTAACCCTTTTCTATGCCTCCAGCAGATCTCAGTCTAGGCCAGAGGTCAACACAATTTTTCTGTAAAGGGCCAGGTAGAAATACTGTCGGCTCTACAGTCTCTGTTGCAGCTGCTCATCCCTGTCACTGTAACACAAGAGCAGCCATAGACAAGTCGTTAACAAATGTGCAATGCTGTGTTTCAGTGAAACTTGAATGATAGATGGCTAGCCAGATGGCTAGCCATGTGTGAGGCCATGGATTGCTGCCTCCAGGTCTAGGTTCCTCGTGACTCCTGAGAGCTGGCAAGGTCTTCTGCAGCCTCAGTGGAATGATAGTGGTCTTTTCATTATTCTGGAGTGGAAGAGCACTACAACCCAGGCACAGGTTCAAGCATCTCTGAGTGTGACCCCAGCTCTGTTATGCACCAGATTGGGCAATGTACTTACTGTTCTACACTTTGGTTCCTGCATCTTAGAGAATGGAGGTGATCGTTGTATGCCCCTCACAGGGCTGTGGTGCAGATTAAAGAGATGGCATACATCAAGGGCTGAGCATCACGCCCGGCGTGCAGCAAATGTTCAGTAAATATGATCAGCTGTTGTTATTGCACTTACTATAGATGTCCCTGGAGCTGGCTGGAGGTGTCGCTCTGAGGGAATGAAATTATGGATGTCTCTTTCCCTCCTTGGGAGGAAAACTTTAAGCAAACAAGTTTATTTCTCCACTGTAGCATTCTCTCCTGTGTAGCCTTAACCCCCCTCCCTTTTTGAGATGGAGTCTCACTCTGTCACTCTGGGCAGAGTGCTGTGGCATCATAGCTCATAGCAACTTACCTCAAACTCCTGGGTTGGGGTCAAGTAATCCTCTTGCCTCAGCCTCCTGAGTAGCTGGGACTACAGGCATCCACCACCACACCTGGTTATTTGTTAGAGATGGGGTCTTGCTCTTGCTTAGGCTGGTCTCGAACTCCTGAGCTCAGCAGTCCACCTGCCTCAGCCTCCAAGAATGCCGGGATTATAGGCCCCCCCTTGCCTGGCCTGCCTTAGCCATTTTTGGTACCAACCTCCACCAGGCAGTGAAGCATTGGGGGGTCCTGTCACCAGAGGCATGTAGTGGCTGCATAGGCTGCTTGGAGAGTTTGCTTTGGTTTCCAGCATGTGGTTGGTTGTGCTTGAGGAATGATACTCCTTCATAGGACACTGTCTCCTCCACAGCTAGAGGAATTTCTTCTGGTTAAAATAGCCCTAAAATCAACTGACAACTGTAGGGCTGGAACCCTGCAATCAAACATTAATTTTTCATGCAATAAAATGCATATTCATACTGAGAGGATTTTACAAAAATGATTCTAAGGAGTATCCATTTGGTCCAGATTTTGCTGCCAATTAACCTTTGGAGCCCAACTTGCTAGATACCTTTTTGTTTCGAAAGCATTTTCCTGTTGGGTTGTACTAAGGGTGTGTCGAGCGGGGCAGGGCACTGACTTAGGGCCATGCTTCCCAGGAGAGGTGGGGGCCGTGGATGACTTCAGATGGAATGATGTGGTTTCACAGCTGCCTTTAGAATAATTTTGCTTCAGATGGATTGTAGATGGAGAAAAGCTGTACACTCCATTTCTTTTATAATTGGGAAAATTGGAATGTGGACTTATATATTCGATGATATGAATGATAATTTTCCAAAGTGTAATAATGCTGATGGTCTGATCACGGAGGAGAATATCCTTGCTCTTGGCAGGTGCATGTCTAGGGGGTCTGTGCTTCATATCAGATTGTTCCAGAGAAGCCATAGATGCACATACACATGCTATGTAAAC